GTTAATTATTGGTATACATCTTTCTGATTCTATCTCTATTTTCATATAGCTCTCCCACGAAGCAACGAACTTAATATAATTGAACTCGAACAAACACATAAATATTTTTAAACATATTTAACTTGTAAAATATAATAATGAAAACTCAAACATGTTTCTTATTTCTTTTTATTTTAAACAGAAGGCTTTTTATTTTGACTCTGCAATAAAAATGGAATATTATATATATACAAATTGTGGACACAGATTATATATTCTTTATTAAAAGTAATCAAATTTTCTCTCTCTCTTCTTATATAGATTTTTAATTAAATTAATTTGTGTTAAAAAAATAAAAGTTACATATTTATTTAGATATATTAATTTTTTAAATAAATTTTTTAACAAATAACTCCTAACTACTTTTACTTTTAATAATTTTTAATATTTTAATTCTAAAATTTTAATCTAAAACAAAAACTATTCAATAAAAAGAGTGTATTAATACTTGATTAATCTGTAATAACGTATATAATACTATTATTATATTAATACAAAAATGACTATTTAAAGAATTTAATTTACCTCTTTCGATGAATGTCCTTCCTCTATCTTTCTCTTCGTAGGTATACACACACCTTTTAATAATGCATTTATAGGCATATGTCCATTCAATTTTTTAATACCTTTTACATCATTAATAAGAAGATATGGTGGATTAGCTATAAAAATTAAAAAACATTAAACTAAATTAAAAAATGCAGACCCCAATCATAATAAAGAATCACAAAGCGCTTACTGATCTAATGTCTCTATTGAACGCAGTTAATATTACCAATGTATGCGTATATATTATATATAATCTGAGCGCTTAGTGATTCTTTGATAAAATTAATTTGTACATATGTAATTATACACATATATACATTACATGTATATGTGTATAATTACATATGTTACACATTACCTAATTCCATTACGCCTGTAACTTGAACTTTATCTCCTTTACTTATCCCAAGTGCAAAATAATCATCATAACTAAAAGAAATAATATGGACTTCTAACTTATAGGTGCCATCTGTCACTGATCCAATACCAATAAGTTTGTTCAATTTGTTATGATGTATTTCATCAAAATTCGTTTTTATGTAAGCTTCCATTACTGTGAAATACATAATACATATTAAAATATATATTATAATATATGTTAATATAATACATAATTTGTTATGATAAAAGAAACTATTGTTATGATAAAAAAGACAAGGGATGAAAAAGAGAAAGGAAAAAAACAGCAAAAAATTAAGATGACTTACCAATACATCCAGATACATTTAAAATGTCACTTAAATTTACAGATATTGGAGTAGTCTCCATTAAATTCATCTGATAACTTCCCAAATTTGAAATACGAGTATTATTACGAATTAATAACTCGAACCGAACATTTCCGTTATTGAAATTTGTCATTTTTGGCAATCGCGCTTGAACACCATCCAAATGAATAATCTATAAACAAATGTAGTTTTAATAAAATGGTATCAAGAAAAATAATAATGTAAAATTGTAACTGAATATTTAAAAAACATAATTACAAACAAAAAGATAATATAAAAAATATAAATATTTACAAAATTTGGCAAAATGTGATGAATAATATCATCTATCACTTCGTTCCAAGCGACAACTTGGATTTTTCTCCCGTTGCCATTATTTAGATAGAATTTAAAAAATTTATACTGCTTGTTAGTCCCCACAATACGAGGCGATTCAATACCGTCGACGTAGCCAATTACTTCACTGTAAGAATAATAACCTAATGTAGCAAAAAAGACAAGCCCAAACGACGAAAATATGAATAAGATAAAAACTTGTTAATTTTATTCAAAATAGTAAAGTGGAGAATGGAAGTTTGGAAATAAATGGTTTCAAGATAAATTTTTAACATGTCAAAAAATTTCTTATAATCATAATAAAATAATAAATAGTGAGAACCATGTGCGTGAAACCTCGGGCGAAGTTGCCGGACATGCTACTTTATAAAATAATTTTATAAAATAAGAAAAATAAATATATTATATTTTAAAAAATGAATTTAATATGCACTTACACGGTTGAATCAAATTCCCGTAAGGAATCAAAAACCTCATTTGAGGTCATAAGATCCGCTGGATTTATTTCTTCCAATTCTTTCTGGATTCTTTCAACATCCATCTTAAAATTGCTTTTTCTATTTATATCAGTTCTGCAACACAACAAAATGATATATCATTATAATTGTAATAAAAATTTGAACGATAATAAACACAAAAGTAAAATCACAAACTAAAAAAATTTTAAAAACGTAGGAAAACACAAACAAACAAATAGTAATAAGTAAGGGAAAATCCAAGAATAAAGAACAAGAGAATAGAAAAGAAAAAAGAGGTGGTATAAAGTTGAATATAATACTACATATGTATTGTGAGTTGTATGTATTGTATACATATACATATTATACCTATAAATATCACATATGTATAAGAAATGGATAAAATCAAGCGTTATAAATTTTTAACTTGATAAATATTGTATTTAGAGAAAAATCTTGCAAATAAAAGCTGTAATACTTTAACGAGAACATAAGATAATGGCAACAATTTCACCTTAAATAGTCATTTAAAAATCATGTAAAGACCACCTTCAATTTCTTAAATAGAACTCTCTATTTTTCACTGCATATTCTTGAAGCTTTCCTTGAAAAGTTTCCAAAACACCATATTAAAACATTTTTTCATTAAGCACTTAAAATGTTTATATGTTTGTTAGAGTTTTTATGAAACATTAAAGTATGAGAAAGAAAAATGACTAATGGTATCAATAAATCAATAATAAATTTAAAAATACTGTATACTAAGGTAC